ATGATTTATGGGGGCTTTGCCAGCCTCAACAATTCTGTGATTCTGTATGTTTATATTCTTCCAAGAGAAGGAACAGCTGATACGGGTGATTATAGCCCTCTTCTGTGATTCTGTGTGATATTCTCTCCCTCTGGCCCAAATCCCAAGTGTTGCATTTTAGGGACAGATGATTTCCTGCCGATGTTGAAAGCACCTCGGCGCACTTGGCTTCTCGCTGCCTTCGTGTGGCCTTGGGTTAATTGGTCCGTTTTGATCCGCCGTTTCCCATCGCCTTTAATGAAGTTTGTAATCTTCCTGTCTCCCATTCTTTGTTTGTCTTGTTTATTTAGGTGATCTTCCTGCATGTGTTTAGGTGCACGCTTAAAATGACTGGTTAACTGCACTGCCTTCTTTTTTTTCCCCTTGATTTCAATGAAGCTATTCTTGATGTTAGGTGCACGCGTGCATGTGTGGGCCTGGGAGACTGTTTTTTCTTTAGGAACCTATGAAGGAGCCTTGATTCTCATTTGGTTCTCTTAACACCTGCATTAATTATAAAAAATGACTTCTCCATTTCCAAATAGAACATTTTGTGACAAATCCAAAATCCGAAATCCCACTGGCTTTTGTTGTGTAGTTTAGTTTCTCTGTTCATTTATGTTTGATTTTTGACTTGGCTTTTGTTATGACAGCAGATAATAAAACTTCCATGTTCTAGTTCAAAGGAGGACTGGCCGGTAGATGTTGTCCAGGACAGGGAAAGCCAGCACTGAAGTCTCATCCTCTATAGATATTATTTTGAAATCAGATGTAAAACAAAGTTGGAATAAATATGGAATTTAAACCTGTAATTAGTAATCCTTAAAGCCTTCTGTGAAGTGCAGCTCGTCCTTGGAGATGACAACTACCATAGCAATTTTCCTTCAGCATTCTTCACATTAATAATTAAAATTTTCACTGTTGTTTTTTTTTTTTTTTTGCAGCATAAAGTTTTGTAAAATTAAGTCCTGAGAACGTGTTTGATCTGACACAGGTTTGGGTTTGTTTTTTTTTTGCAATGAAGAGCTTCTCTAGAATTGATCAAAAGTGACTGCGAATGCTGTGGAAATGTAAATAGAGCGTGTTTGAATTTTTCCTTCCTGCTCTAGCCCGCAGAAGGCAGAAGTGGTCTGTGGATCCGCGAAATAGCGCTTGGAGTAAAGATGAATCTAAATTTGGCCAGAAGATGCTGGAAAAGATGGGCTGGTCCAAAGGAAAGGTATGATCCAAAGGAGAGTTGACTGACTGAAAGGTGGAAGACCGCAGGGGGACTTCTGATCTCCGTGTTTAAAATAGCCGTGTTCTTTCTGTTTCGTTTATTCTCTTAAGTGCACAGAGAATTCGAGCAATGTTAGAATTCTGCAGTTTGTTACAAAGGTACTTGCTTGTGCCTGTCCCACTTTCCAGTTGTTCTCCCTTCTCTTTGACGAGGTAAAGTCCCCAAGTAAGAGCAGGAGTTGGCACCTTAAATCAGGCTCTGAGGAGCCTTTATGCCTTCAGTTCTCTCTCTGGCTTTTGGTACTGTTTAAAGCAACTCCAGGACTTGCTTTAATCTTTTCCCTATTTTTTTAAAGGTTACTTCTAATCTGCTCCTTGAACGGCCGCAGTGCAGCGTTATGTGAGCTATTTTCCTTCCCAGCTCCAGCCTCTACCTGTGGGCTGAGGTGGCTGGTTTCTGGCACTACAGTTCATCTCTAGGTCCTTGCAGACACCTGCAGACTTCTCAGCTGTCCCTTAAATGCAGTTTAACTTCCACAAAGGTGCCTCAGCAAAGCTGAGATTTGGGCCTGCACGTCAGCATGTTTAGTGAAAGGAATGCGCACAAAAATCCCACGATATTTAATTACTTCTTGTCCTAGATTGCCTTTCCCAGCTGTTTGTTGGCTTTTTTGTAAAGGAATAAAATCAGGATCATTCCCAATTCTGCGAATGCATTAAAACTTAGAGAAATAAACCTGTCCTTGGGTTTGTCAGTGTAGCCTACTCTTGCCTCAGTTGTCTTCCAGGTCACACGTATAAATCTGGCTTCTGACTGCCTCTCATTTCACGGACAAGCAGTGGTACCTGATTCAAAGGCTGCTGGAGCCGAGGAGCTGGCATTGGTTTCACGAGTCAGACTGTTGAGAGTACAGAGCTCAAGTACTGTCTTTTTATGTAAATTTTATGCATAGATGTTTTACGTGTGCAAGAAAAAAATCGATGTGTAAACCAGAGTAGGGAAGATCCTGTTCAGTGTTCCGCATGTGTTTTGGGCAGGCACCTTCTCTGACCACAGGTAACACCTTTGCCTTTCTGAACACTTTGTGTCAGGGTGTGAAGGGAAGGCCTGTTGTTTTTTTCTGTCTGTCATTTCTCCCCCCTCCCTCTTCTTCACAACGGTAAGTTTTCTACTTGAGCTACTGAATCTTCCTCTACGACAGGTAGAGCTGTAGAAGAAGAATTTATGTCTCCATTCTGCTGCAAACTCAGACAAGTGGAACCTTAGCGTGATCATATTACTGGGCAAAAGCCTGTCTGTGCGGTGAAATTAAGCTGCTTACACTAGTCTTGTTCTTAGTTTGTACTGGAATTGGGTCACGGCAGGATGTGTAGCCAAGTGTCTTGCTTGCTTCCGTACTTTTTGGTTAGCAGAAGTTTCAGGGTAAATTTTCCACTCCACTGACCAAATAAGCTCTACTGGATTCATAAGAGCCTTTTTCAAATTTTGGATATGCCCAGGCTCTGTTCACAGGGCTTGTTTCCACCACTTCACCGTCACAGCCATCCACATGGCTGGTGATTTGTTGCCGGTGAAAGATTAGGGAAAAAACAGGCAGATACTAGCAATAAAGCTTTAAACCAAATACTTTGTCTTTTTTTTTCCCTTTTCCCTGATCACACAATTAAGAAAGATAACACTGGGCCTAAAGATTGCTTTCTGGATTTGAAGGATTATGTTTTTCAAGGTAGACAAACCTGACATTTGTTTCCTCCAGTATCTTCGTCAGCTCCTGGGTGGGAATGAGATGGAAGAAGCTCTGAAATGTCCTGCCAGCTCCAGGCTGACCTTTCTCCTCCTTCTTGCCCCCCATATAACTTCATCCTGTATCGTACTTTCTATGTGACATCTGTCTGTCAGCTGTTAATGCAGCTGCTTTCCGAGTGACGGAGTTGGGGGGTTTTTTTGGTGTGAAAGGCAAGTTCTTTTTATGTAGTGTCTTGTTTTAAAACTGTAAACACTTTGGGCTTGCCTAGGAATGTCAGGTGGCTTCCTGATTAATCACCCAACTACTTAAGGTTGTTGCTATTTTAGTGTTTATAATACTTTGCTGGAGGCTTAAGTAGTAAATTTAAAAAACTCAATATCTCGTGTGTGCTAATGCATGTGAATGAATTCAGTTACAGGCAAGCAAATAAATAGGAGGTTGTGATTTCTTGCTGTATTTCATTGCAAACTCTCTGAGAGTACAAAAGCTCGAATTGCTTAGTCACTGCTTTAAAATCCTTGTGTTTTAACCCTTCAATCCTCTGTAGGGTCTCGGAGCTCAGGAACAAGGAAGTACAGAACATATCAAGGTTCAGGTGAAAAACAACACACTGGGGCTGGGAGCAACCATCAATTACGAGGTGAGCACTAGAGCCAGGTGAGGAAGTGGCTCCCGTTCCGGCTAAAGCACAATCTTTGCAATGGGATGTTAGGGAAGTCTCTTGCCATATCTGATGGCAGCCTGTACCTGTGCAAATATCTCAGCAGAAACTCTTGACCTGGAGTTTAGTTCTGCTGCGACGGGTGTTTTAGTAAGTACCTTCTTGGAAAGATTATAGTGATTCTGGGAGCACACTGCTGAGAGATTTTTATTTTTTTTGCTTCCAAGCAAATCACTGAAAAACTTGCTTTTAACCTGAGTCTTCTGCCCTGCTTGGCTTCATGCCTCCTGTCCCTCTTCCCGACACAGTCACCTTTCTGAGTGGAGTTCAGGTACACAGGAGAGCAGAATGTGGTCCTTAAGGTGCTTGTCTTGTAAGAAGCATCTTAGTTTTGTTGCTGGAAAAAACCACACCAGTATTTCCTGCCTACTTTTGAAAACACCTTGCGCAGGCAGGGAGCACGCAGAGCCAAGAGCAGCTCAGTATTGTTTAAGGACTTACGAATACAATTAAGTTACTTCTTAGAGTACAGAGTCTGTTCGAGCCGAACTTCTGTTAGTTCTGAAGACTTTGGCCTTGTATTCATGTGGGTGATGTTTACAGGACAACTGGATTGCTCATCAGGATGACTTCAACCAGCTTCTGGCTGAACTGAATGATTGCCACGGACAGGGTGAAACAGGTAGGTTCACGCTTTGCTCAAGGCAGGTGCTCCAACCTCAGCAGAGTTTCCATTCTTGGTCTTAAAAAGACCAGCTGAGGCCCAATCCTTTGGGCTGCAATAGTCTCCTTGCTGAAGTTGACGACTCCTCCTCTCCCCCTAAATCAGTGGGAGACGAAGGACTTGTTGCCATCCATGACCACGTGCCAAGTTTTTCTGCCAGGCTGTGTCGATCTCAGAAGGTCGGTTTTGCCCTCAGGCCCACATTAAAGGCTTTTTGTTGGGGAAAACGAACATAAAGTTTTGAACTTGTTTTTTTTTAATCCAGGACCATGACACTGGGGTGTACTACAGCAGCACTTGATTCTTTACAAAGCACCCAGAGCCAGGGTGAAGGCTCAAAACACACTCACCATTGCGATGTGTTCGCCTTCCTTTTACTAATGAACTGTCACACCCGGCTTTCATGCTCTGGTGCTTTCTTAAATACCTATTTTTCCTGTCCTCAGAGAGCTGCTTCTGAGCTTTTGACTCGGAGTTATGCATCTCTGTTTTGAGTGTAGTATAACGTGATTTTTTTGTAGCCCTGAGGTAGAGCACACAAGTGGGGAAACCGCACAACTCTTCCAAAAGGACTATTTATAAAGTCTCTTAATTTTGGAAAGCTTTGCACGGTATGACCTTGACTCCTAAAAAAAAAAAGTTATGCAAAACTAGCGGGTGTGGGCTTAGAGAATGAATTGTACACGTCAAACGGCTTGTCTCTCCTTTAGTTAGACTCAAGTTTAAACTCTGATCACATATCTAAACAGCTCTGTGGCCTGTTGTTAAAGCAAGGGCGTCTCTTTGGACACAACAGCCTGTGCACGTGCTGTGAGTGGCAAAATCACCAGCTTAGGGAGTTTGACAACTGTTCCTTCCTTCCTTCTTAACATTTGAGCACAGAAGGTTTTCTCGGAGGAACTAGTTAGCAAAGAGGGATCAAACCTGGTTTTTAATCCTGGAGAACTAGGATTAAAATTCTGAACCTGTTTTAAAAACACTTTTTTTTTTTTTTAAATTGCTGTGTAAGTTATCCTTGTGCATTGGAGCTCTAATCGTGGTCCGAGGTGAAGTCCTCCAGAGGTAGAACAGCATATCATAAGGAAATTCCAGAAGTTCCTTTCCACCTTTATAACTAAATCCTATCCAAGTTCCAACTTGAGCCCTGGGAAGCTCACTTAGGTGTAACTGGTGGGAAACCTCCGAGCTGACGAGCCGAGAGCTGAAATGACTTGCCCAAGGACACAGTGAGTCAGCACAGGCAGGTTCATTGAGCAAGACTGTCTTGTTCCTAAATCTCTGCAATACTCCTGGGTCATCTAATACTGAGGCCAAGTGGCCCCTAAAAATCATATTTCTCCTTATTTTACTGAGTTGTTTTTTAGGGTCTGGAGCGAGAGTTTTCAGCCACATTGAAAATTCCCCGTCAGAATCACGTTTGGTGATTTGCAGACTGCAGGCGTCGCTCCGAAGCTCGTTTTTTTGGCAGTTGTTTGAGATGGCAAAACTCATCCAGATAACTCTGCCTGCAGCTGTGCTATAGGATCAAATGTTACATTACTGGCCATCCTCCAGTTTCAAATTGCATTAAAAGTCAGCTGAAAAACTTCATTGTTCTTAAATAAGTGGCGGAGTTGCCAGAGTTGGATTGCAATTAGAGATCGGGAAGGAAGGGCCCCGTGGGGGTTAGTATGCCAGCATTCAAATAACCTTCATTTACAGAGTTTTAGCTTTTTTTTTTCCTAACTGAGGAGTTCTGGTTCTGAGGAGTTCGTTTTTCTGGTGTACTGAGTGATAATGATCATATTCCCTTTCCCATTTGTAAAATGGGATGACAACACGTTGACTGTGTCTGTAACGTGCTTGGGAATATTCTTCTGTACCAGACGTGCTGTCGAAATGACACGTGGCTTTCTTGCTATGACTAAATTGCTTGAAAAAGGACATTAATATTCCTGCAGCGTTTGTCGGAGGATTTACCAGGTTCTGGAAGACACAGAGACCTACCTCCCTGTCGGTTGCGAGCACCAGCACCTTTCAGGAGTGAAATTTCTCCTTGAAGGCACAAGGCGGCGCTGCTGCCCCTTTCACTGTCAGAATAAAGAGGAGGAGGAGGAGGAGGAAGCCCTGTAGAAATCCTGTGCTGTGTAATGCTCCCGTCGGTACAAGTGATTCAGAAAGCTTCATCTCTGGTCAGAATATTTGAATTATGATACTTACTTTCCCCTAGACCCCTTTTATTGAGGATTTTCAAGCTGGCTGGAAACTCTTGTCTACAACTGGGTTTGCCAGTTCTTCCTTTTCTCATCTAGGGCTTGGTTTTTAAATGGAAGAGTAGATCTCAGACTGCTTTCTGGTCGTCGATTCTCCCACTGGAGGCTGTGGATTTCATTTTTAGGTCAATGACTGTCATGAGGTGTCACTACCTATCAAACCGTGAAGCGCTGTAATTCCAGTGTCAGGAAAGCTTGTTCTGCAGAGCTTTCAGGGGTGGCATCACACAAAAAAGGTGACTCAACTTGGCCCTCAGGGTACGAGGTGATTTCCCTACCCATCCCAGGTACCACTGGGAGCAAAAAAAAAAATCAATCTCACCAGAATAGCCTTTACTAAAGTTCCAGAGCAGAGAATCCTGCAGTGCCTATTTCTCTACAAGGTGGGACTAATAAAGTAGTTATTAACCAAACAGCACGGTACCTCTTTCTGAGAATTTTCTGTAAAATAACGAAGAAGAACAGGCTCTCTGGATGCAAAGAGTACGTCTGTTCCAGTAACATAATCTGCCACAGCACAGGAGCTTGATATCTCTACCGTTAAATAGTTAAACTAATCCTTCACGTGGTTTTTGACCTGCTGACATTCTCCCAAACAACTCCCAAGTGAATCTGGGACTTAGCCATCCCCAGGGACCATTCCCAGTAGACAGTTTAGATGCAGCCCCTCTTCTGGAAGCTCGGAAAATTAAATAACAAGGATGTGGCGATTTGTTCTAGCTGGCCTCGGGGACAGAAAAACTCTGCCAGTGTTTAATTTCCTTCCAGATTTAACAGATTATATCCAGATAGAGGCACTCCATGTAGCGTTAGAAGTGGAAAGCCTGTCTGTGTGATTGATTGATTGATTTTTTTTCCCCCTTTTTCTTTCTACCCAGTCAGGTTCACTATGTTATTTTGTGCTATTTCTTACATCTTTCTCAGACTCTGGCACTGGAGATGTTTTGTAACACAACAGCACAATCAACACTGATGTTATTCATTCCTACTGTAGAAGTGCTGTTAAATTAGACTTTACCTTTGAGCTGGGGTACCTTTTTCTGCCTAAATTATGTGGGATTGGAAATGGGAAGGGAATGTGGCAAAAAAAACAAGCAGTAGCACATCTCGGACAAAACTGACTAAGCTTCCTTCAGTAACATATTATGATGTGTTGTTGAGAGTTGGTTTTGAGAGAGAAAGTTAAATACACTGGTGTTTGAATTTGGTGGTTAGAGGGTCTCTGACAGGGTTGGAACCTCTATGTGGTTATTTTTTTTAGAGTCCTCAGTGAATAATCGGAAGAAGGCATTCAGTCTCGAAGAAAAATCCAAATCTTCCAAGAAACGCGTCCATTATGTGAAGTTTGCTAAAGGTAAGAGGAGTTTTGTTGTTTCGCCAGCTCTAGCCAAGACTAGAGAAAAAAAAAATGCGTCAAGGTGATCTGTTGCCTTCTGGGGTCTAAGTCTGGCAAGCAAAACCTTGGTTTAGGAATACCCCCTGCAGCAATTTACTTACAGCCATAACACACTGTTCCTCTTCCCTTCGGGCTATTTTGGATGGCTCTAGGCTGATGTTGTTTATAAAACCTTTTCTCCTTGAAGGAACCATCTGCCGAATAAAGAGACGGTGAATATTCTGAGCGATCCGTGCGTGGGCAGGGGACAGGAGGAGGCGGCCAAGGTGGTAACAGAGTTCCTTGGGCGGTGCTATCCTCTGCAATCTGCAGTAACCCCTGCTAAGAGATCATGTGGATAAGATGAGTGAGCAGATTAAACCTGAAGGCAGGAAGAGGAAAACCCTCTTACATCGAGCAGATACTTTATTGGAGAAATTGGGACAGTGGTCAGTGGCCAGGAAAACTCTATCAAGCGCTTTTGGATTTCAGTAATTTCTTTCTTTCTTAGAGTTATGACGGGGTTTTAACCATCCTTGAGTTTGGCTCTTGGCAATTGTTCAATCCTTTGCTCCCTTTCTCTGTTGGTAGCGTTCCCCACGTGCACGTGGTGTGCGTATATTCAGATTTTTGGGTACGGACAGGATCGATTTCCACTAATGGCCAATTAATTAAACCCAAAGCTCTGTGCAGTGTTTTCTGATAGGGAAGTGCCTCTGCTAGAATGGAAGTAGCTGATGTCTGAATGGAGGTGAAATTCTGTTACTGGGGTTCGGGATTAAATTTGATTAAATAATTCATCCCTGAAATCAAACGTGTTAACATGACCCTGTCGCTTTGCAGCGTTAAACAATTAAATTGGTTCAGGGCTTGCGAATGCAGAGGCCATGGCCTGTTTGAGGTAGTAGCAAAGAGGATTTATTTTGATTTGGATTTAACCTTTTACTAAATATAGAGAAAAAAAAGAAGTGTCTTTTGAGCATGTAAAATAGGGAGCAAGGCTTTTATATTAACAATATCCTTTATTTGTTTGGGGACGCTGTTTCTGTAGGGCAGGCTCCTGTTTGATTGTACCTTCTGAGGTCTAAAACAGGGAAATTGTCCTTTTTTTTCAGGAAAAGAGGAAAAGTTATTTGATAAAGGCTAATGTTGTGGCCCTTGTTGTTGAAGTCCGATCCTGCTTCCTTTTAGACTAAACAAGACGAGCTCACACAAAAGTGGGAGAAGCGAGCAGCAGCGACAGAAGCTGCAGCTTCCGCTTCGGGGGCTGTTTTGTAGCCTCGCTGCTGGAGGATCGTAGGCACCACACATAGCCTCAGCCACGCTGGGATCTGGGAAATAACAGAACCTGTGAGACTGAGCCAGTGATTTCTATTGCTTTTCTCTTAGCCCAGTGATCCTGCCCAAGTTTTGGACTGTCAGCCAAGCTGGTTTTCTGCTGGCGAATGCAAAGAGAGGTCTCTTCTCCCAGGTAACAAGTGACAGCACAAGAGCAAATGGTCTCAGGTGGCAGCAGGGGAGGTTTAGTTTGGATATTAGGAAAAATTCCTTCCCTTAAAGGGTTGTCAAGCCCTGACACGGGGCTTGTGGTGGAGTCCCCATCCCTGGAGGGATTTAAAAGTCGTGTAGATGTGGTGCTCGGGGACATGGGTTAGTGGTGGCCCTGGCACTGCTGGGTTTGTGGTTGGACTCAATGATCTTAAAGGTCTTTTCTGACCTAAATAATTCTACGATTCGAAGAATGGACAGACATTTGGTGGAGGGAGTTAAAAAAAGGGCGTGGAAAGAAAGCTTCGGGTGAGAGGAGGAGCAGCAGGATGTTAAGTGCCGTGTTCCAGCCCTTGGCCAAGAGAAAGCTGAAACCAGGCACCGATCTCACACACCTTGCTTGGGAAGAAGACACGTGACACTGGAAAGTTGGGTGACGCTTTCTCCTGTAGGCTGATGTGTCTGCGTACCCTCTGTGGGCAGTTAAGGATCCTGAGAAAAGGAAACAGGTGGAATAGTGAGATTTATTTTATTTTTTTTTTGTTTGTTATGAGTATTAGATCCATTTTGATGTCAGCGATTTTGGAATCAGAAAATCAAGTGGAGTAAGACCCCAGCAGACTCCTACTAAGTTGGCCTGTCAAGGCTACTTTGTTTTTTTTATTATTTGCTGACTTTTTTATTTTTTTAAAGTATTTTCTGAGACAATCTGTGCACAACTCAATACAAATACTTCTGCACTGTGGAATCAGCTAAACTTTTGCCCTTAGTCAGAATACCACATCACACCCTTCTGCCTTCCCCTCCCTGCTCCATGTGTGGTGTTCAACTGGCCACACCACGGTCAGACGGGAGCAGTGGTCTTACTAGAGCTCACAGAAGTCTTTGCCCTTGAAATTAAGTTGCAATAATCCAGCATGTTGCAGAGATGGAGGATTTGCTTTTCAGAAGCTGTTTCAAGAATCAAAGAAAAGTCACAGAATCGCCTGGATTGGAAAAGACCTTTAAGATCGAGTCTAACCTTTAACCTAACGCTGACAAGTCCTTCAATAAACCGTATCCCTGAGCGCTGTGTCTGCACGGCTCAAATACCTCCAGGGATGGTGACTCCATCACTGCCTGGTAACCCTTTCAGGAAAGAAATTCTTTTTCGTATCCTATCTAAACCTTCCCTGGTGCAGGTTAAGGCCGTTTCCTCTTGTCCTATCGCTTGAAACTTGATTGAACAGACCAACACCCGCCTCGTTAGCCCTGACTGTCGGAGTTGTAGAGAGCAAGAAGGTGTCCCCTCAGCATCCAGGCTGGACAACCCCAGTTCTCAGCTGCTTCTTATCAGGCTTTTTCTACAGACCCTTCCCCAGCTTTGCTGCTCTTTTTGGACGTGCACCAGCACCTCAGTGTCCTTCTTGTAGTGAGAGAGCCCAAGTCCTCGCTGAGTAAGATGGATTTATTTATTTTTTTGTAGTATGGAGAGGAACTGTAACTCCCTAATTCTGTCACAGATGGGGAATTCTCATGAGAATCTGGAGATGTGCAGTTTCTCCTTGAACTTTGCTTGCGTGTAGGAGGTTACAGCTCTTCTTTCCCTTTAGCACAGTGCAAGCTGCTCTGCTCATCTTGCCCTACCGATTGCAGCATCGAGTCAGGGGGAAGCGAGTTGCTGTTATTTATTTCCCTGTGGCCATACACGCAGGCTGCTCCCCAGCCTTTCCCCCAACTCACGCTTCCCTCTGAACATGGGAGTCATGGTCAGCCTTCGTTGAGCATCTTTACTGTTTTGATTTTTATTCACCTCCCAAACCAATTTTACTACCTCCGTGGGTCACAGTTTGTGTTATCAGAATGTACCTGTCATCACCAGGTGTGAACGTTGGTGGTTTTGTTTTTTTTTTTTTCTTTTTCTCCCATTACCACTCTCAGGTAAGGATCTCTCTTCGCGCAGTGAAGAAGATCTGTCCTGCATATTTGGGAAGCGACAGAAGAAGACACAGGTAAACAAGAGGCTTCACCTTTTGCTTGTTTCCTTGGATATGTTCCCTTATAACAAAAAAATATTTAGATGTCTTTAAGCTAATGAGGTTACCGTGCGCCCATCAAAAGCAAGGGGCTTCTGCCTGTGAAAATCCTGCTGTTTCTGTGTGAAGGATGCGGGTGGATGGCTGTGCGCCAAACCGTTAGGAAATAAGAGGGAATTTAATACACATTTTCCTGAATTATTGTGATGTAGTTTCTTTGGAGTTGGGAATCTTCATTATTTTGGTTTTACAAACAATATACATCGCAAAGCAGATCCGTTTTGCTCAATCTGAAAGCTGTGTAAATACCCAAATAATTAAATACGCAAATAAATACCCAAATAAAATTTGACATCTAGTAGCAGCAGACCAGTCTCAGCAAACTGCTCTTATTTTCACAAGAATTGGGAAGGGCAAAGGAGCTGCAAAGTCTTGCTCATCTTTGAACAAAGATTGTTAATGAGAACACTTTTCCCCAACTTTGTGTAACGAAATCAAGGTTTATACTAGCATTGATTTTCTTTTTTTTATTCATTAGTGCTTGCAGAGTATAGGCCTGCTTTGTCATTCTGTAAAACACCAGACACTGCGACATGCCTAACATATCCAGACAAATTCTTTGGAAAACATAGCATCTGGAAAAGCACAAATAAATATGTTGCAAGAATTGGCCTGTTGGTTTGGAGGTCTCTGAAGCCTCTTGTGTAGAGGGAAAGATGGAGCCTGATACGAAATGGAAATTTCTGAAACACCTTGTGTATGTTTGACACCTTGCTCGTTGTGAAATACTCTTGAAAATTGTTCTTTAGCTTCACTGTAGGCCCCTGTGAACTTTGAGAGGAGGGGAGTAGGGGGAAGCTGAGAGATCCTGGATAGTAGTGAAAGTAATATCAGGTTTGTCGTTAGGTAAGTGCTGGGTGGCAAGACGAGGCAGCTCGTGAAGAACAAATAACGATCTACTGGGGATTCCTCGCTGGAAAAAACTCCTACTGGAAAATAAAGAACATGTCAGGGGGGGTGTCTCAAACAGTTTGAAGGATTTGGTGGTGCCGTTATGCCTCGTAGCGTTATAATTTCAAGGAGTATGCTGTAGGTTTTCATGTTATCGGTGGGACAGAGAAAAATGTCATCTGATTTCCGGGTACTGTTCTCTAACCTACAAAAATATGATTACAGTTAATTAAACTGGGAGGTGAGGAGAAATTTAAGCAAATTAAGAACTGTCCTGTCTTGTCTGCCACTGGCGAGAAACAGTATAAACCTTTGTTACAAGTCACATGGTTTGGCGTGAAAAGAGAGAACTTGGGAGGAGGCCATCGGCCACAGCAAAGCCCATCTTGACTTTCTGCTGTCTTGAAATAAGCTTTTGGGAACTTCAAGTCTGTGAGAGCTGCTGGAGGTCTCGAATGCTGCAGGTAAGCTCGCACGATCGGAGCTTCTTGATTAACCCTTTTGATCATGCCATGCATCTGCTTCTTAGCTCCCTCGCCGTAAGATCAATACGAAGCAAGATAAAGTGAGATTTAATGCAGATCAACAGTGCTGTGCTTCAGGGGACAGATTTTACCCATCCATGAGTCGGACAAATAGCTGGTCTTATTTTCTCTGCGTGGCCCCACATCTTTTGAAATTACAGGTAACTTAGGGAAGCACCGGTGCTTCTTCTGGGACTTAATCCTGCAGAGCATCTGTTTTTTTGTTGATAGATGCTACAGATCACGTGCGTTCATGGCTGCTTGTGAAGGAGGTGTGAGCTCATGCGCACTTTTGCTAATTCCTTGACCGATGCAGTAGCCGGCTGATGACGGCTCTGCAGATTTCCTTTTTCCCCCCTCGCTGAACACTAAGCTCATGGGTCAAGGTTCTGGCAAGAAGTCACAGGCTGTTCCCTGTTAAGCACCCAGATTTCCCCATGCAAATCCAGGCAGGAGGTAATGTAATTTGGAGCTGCATTGTTGTCTTCTGGCTTCCCTTTGCTGCTAAGCAGTCACAGGGAGCGAAACCCAGAGGCAGCACAATTGCCTTTTTTTTTAATTTATTTTACTTTTTTATCCTCCTCCCCCTTTCCTTCATGGATCAGAGATCTGTGGAGTTTGCACAGAACAAAAATGCACTGCTCAGTCCCTCCACCTCTGAGCAATTTCGTTTCCTTGCACCCATGAACTCTGGTGATCCCTTTCTATCACGTTGCAGAGCCTGGTCCTTAAGGTGGCACGAATGGAACTGTGAGAGTTTAAGAGCCTTCTGGTTTGAAATCCCTGGACTATGGGCATTTCCCTGATGTGGCAGAGAATGCGCTCACTACAGGAGCAGGGAAGTGGTGTCGTTCTCCTGGAAGTGAGTTGTTCATTATCTTCGTAAAGATAGCGGAGGAAGAGTCTTCGTGTCCATCAGAGCCCCGGGGGATGCCTTCAGGCTGGAGTAGGCTGCAGTCCCTCTTAATTGCAGCTCCTGCAACCCTTAATAACATTTGCATTCTGCTGTCCCTGTTCGAAGTAGGTGAGGACAAGCTTCTGTACTTCCAAAGGGGCCAGAACCTCTACTATCGATGGATTTGATTTCATGTTCAGATCTGTAGTTGCAGCTGAGATGATCCAAGGATGTACCTGTTAAGTATTGATCCTGTAGGTTGAAGTTCTGTCTTTAGAGCTCTTTTTCATAGAATCA